ATATATAAGGTTGTCTGACTATACCAGTAATATATATGGTTGTCTGACTATACCAGTAATATATAAGGTTGTCTGACTATACCAGTAATATATATGGTTGTCTGACTATACCAGTAATATATCTGGGTGTCTTATTATGTAATACGCCAAGGTTTATTGATTGAAGACAGATGTAGAAACAATCTTTGAAGGACACAAGTACTCATCATTCAAACTGATCAATAAACAACATCTGGGAAATCCCTGGTATGGCTTTCCAATTAATGCTGTGTTCTCGTAACAAGTAACAATGTCACAAATAATGAAACTGATCTTGATGGGTATTGATACATCTTTCTTACCCTTAATTTGGATCAATATTCAGCAATTTTCTCTTAAAGTCTCATTGATGAAATGTCCCCGACATCAGTGCTATATTGTGTTTCTAGGATTCTAGATACTTAATTCCATTATATTCTGTGATGTCTCTTACTCTCTCTCACTCATTGCATCCATATCATCCAAGCTATTTCATTTAATAAAAATCAATATCTACTACATTTTATGTCATCCGACATATGCTAAAAGTTTAATATGAACACCCAAAACAACCTTAAATATCTGTTATTGAATGTCATTCAGTACCAAATTAAATCTACCAATAAATCAATTTAGATTTGACATCATGTAATGCATGTGTCTAAATTTATATCCGTTCAATAGTCCCTCAAATAAAGTCTAGTATCTCTAAGTTGGTCTAAGAAGAATGAAACCTGTTTATATTTATGTATACTTTTCATGTAAGAGAGGGTTGGACTTGGAAAACCTTTCTATATGTTATACAACGACAATTCATTGCTTACCGATTTAAGAGGTGGGTGGTCTAACTGCGGACTTTTGACACCAGATAAGTCAAATCCATCCTCCAATCTTTTTATGTCAAAGTAATATTTTCTGAAAAAGACAGCAACAAACTTTTAATCCAAGAATAATTACATTCTAGATATAAACTGTTTTTCTTTTAATGAAAAATAAATATACAATGTGACAATTTACAAAAATCAGCCAACTTTAACAGAGTACATGTAGTTGTTATCAGCAAAACCAATTCAAATAAAACCTATGTTTGCTTATATTTTCTAAATACAGTACAGTGATGTGCTATAAGTCTTACAGGTTATATCATTTTCCCATTGGATTCTATACCAATTTAAATTTACCTTTTTCAAAAAGATTGTGACTTCGTTTGACACTTGATTTTAAAACTGTACATCCTGTTATAAAATCATCCTTACAGTGTTTCTTCGGTAATATAATATTATCCCTGCCTTAGTTATAAATATAGCACTTTTCATTCCAGCATAAAAGTTCTACTTTGACGTCATTCCCATAGACATGATGTTCAATTTTGATGTCGACTATTGTTTTTGACAAGAAACCCATCATGGTTAGAATTCTATTACACGGATCAGCCACAAGGATGACCTATCTCCAAACAAACCGAAAAAGGAACATTCGGCCTAGAAAATTAGATGGTTATGAGCACAAACATGTGGTAGACAAATTATCTACAAGAAACTCTTGGTCATTAAAGGTAGTACATGTGCTTGGTCATTCTGGACAGTTTCAAAACTTGTTCTTCTCCAAAACCATAAACCATTTAGGACTGGAACCTATTAGGAGAAGAGCAAGTGCGCGCGGGAAGTGTCCAACAATTTAAAATAAGTCTGGACACTACCCACTGGGAATAACATCCCCAGATGCCACACCAACCGTCACACTCGATGCCAGGAATTGGTGACGATACAGATACCAAGAGAAGCAGCAGATCATTCATGAGCTTTGTGCTATTTTTTTATTTTTTTTTACTAAAAACAAAACCAAATAACTTAATTTTCCAAAAGAAAACTAACATAGATTCCAACTGGAAAATGACATAACCTCAGAGACTGATGGCACGTCACTGTATATATATAAATAAACACAACCTTTGTCTCAGAGACTGATGGCACGTCACTGTATATATATAAATAAACACAACCTTTGTCTATATGTATTGTTATTTCATTTGTTTGTATCTGATTAGTAGGCCATAATTCTACACTAATACACATAACGCAAGTAACATCTAGCTCCAGTAGATTTTTAAGAGTTCAAAAAAAATAAAAGATTAAAGAAGAAAGACGGCTGAACATGTCAATAACAATCTTGAAATTAAACCAAAATTATACTCAGACCAAAGTTGAAATGATAAGATCAGTATTTATAACCGATTGACAGTATTAAACCGACGGTACTGTTTTCTAAATGCACACATTATTGTTACATAAAATAGCTAAAATGTGAAACATGCATTAAGTTAACTAACATGCCAAATTAACTGTCATCACTGTTACAGTTCACCAGCTAAGGTAACACATGCGTTACGTAGGGCCATTGCTATTGTCGGATTCACTTACAATTGTCTAGCGACACCCTTGACCACTGCGTCTGACGATGTCATCTTGTTGGAAATTCAATTATCGGAAATTAAAACATAATACACAATCAGATAATCGATCCAGGAAGCTGCAACATACTGAATCACGTTTTACACATCGTTGTTGATGAACGTAGCACTCACACGATGTACACAATATCCTTCCGCAAAAGCACCTGCTAACGGTATAGTTCTCTACTGATATGAATGGAAAGTTGTTGTGTGATTTCTCAAATATTATTATGTTGTAATTTTCATATATAATAAAGTAGATGCGGCAAGATTTTTAATGTTTATCAAATACAAACGGGTCCATAGCAATTAGCAGATGTGTTGATGGTAACCAAGACCGAGGGAATATCAATACGCTTTTCGAGGGGAGGTAATCAGGTATTTTAAGGAAGTATGTCACTGTTTAAAAGTTAAGTGTTCGCTTCATAAAGAATCGTTGTTTAATTCATTGTATTACAAATAATCATTTTTTGTTTGCATGCGGAAATAAAGCATACGTCTAATCGCATTGATGGAAAGCTTTTTGTTCAGTTTGACTTTGCAAAAAAATAGGTTGAGCACTCTATCTCTTATCGACTTTCATAATATATGCATTAGAAATGATGGCAGCATACCAACTTATAGAATTGAAATGAAGCTATTCATATTTTGCGTTAAGTCTATGGAAATTATTCTCATTTAGGTAATTCTTCTAGAGTTACATATATGAAGGTCTGAAAGTGTTTTGAAATTGCTGCTGCTCATTACGGTAGACCCCTTAAACAATGCGAAATTTAATACACCATCGGTATATGAATGAAAAAACAGTTAACGCTTAAATCGAAGCAGAAAAAAATGTACATTATTTTAACTTTTAAGCCATTCACAGGACAATTAATTAAAGTGTCAAGCTTCTTTTTAAAGTTTTTTAAAGTGCAACAATCGCATTTAATATTGTGCACAGTAAATATTCACTTCTTTTTTTAATTTTGATACTTATATATATATTGCAGAAAACCTTTCGTGAAAAATAAATCAATCAACAGTTTTAAACACTAGGAAGTCGGTAGTGATATTGTTTGGGGTACAACTACCCAGAAGCCATCATTATGATGGCTTCTGTGTTAGTTTATCACTATTTACAATGTAAGTTTTTATGTTCTTTTCATAATTTTCCCCCTTCTATTTACTATGTAACTAAAACTGAACAATACATGTGTACATTTGGATTAAACTATATTTTGGCCTTAAACCCAAAACAATATAGTTGTTTACCGATATCGACAGAGTATGTGGTGTACAGTCTGTACATGTTCGTATTGTACATTTCTTTATGTCACTTAGTCGTCGATAAAATATCTTAAAACGTTAGGTAAATTTGATATATTCTATTGAAGTTAGTGTTTTATGTCTAGGCGGCAAGAAAAGTAGCATTTAAAGAAACCTGCTAGAGGCGTTGAGAGTCAAATCCTATTTGGAAGACCGGACTGAGCACGACTTATCGAATTCTCTGCATAAATGCATCTAAAAGAGACGGAAAGCTTAATTAGGGATGTTGTTTCCTTTTACAGATAAATGACCGCCGCCACTACTACAAGCCACGTTGGACAGTTTTCCATTTCAAACATATCAGGATACAATTTAAAGCAGTTTTAATCGAGTACAGTATATATCTTTTCATCTGTATCAAGACCAGAATTTTTATTTGTATAATGGACAAAGTCACATTTCCCAAAAAAATCTGGGAGCGAGATATACCCCACTTCATGTAATCTAGGTATTCCTTGAAAAGTTTCAAGGACCATGACTCCAGGAAATGTAGTCGAATCGCAATATCTTCTTCGTGCACATCTTCATATGATGTACTTTCATTGTGTCAAGCTACAACAAACAGTTAAAGAAGGATTGCGCTTGCAAGGTTCATAGACAGACGGATGCACGGACGGACGGGCGGCCAATGCGATTCATGGTTCTGAATAGTGCCCAATGATATATAACTCCGGAAGGTGGTATACTTCATTACGGGATCGAACACTTACAGTTGATTATGATATCGGGGTAAAGCAAGGTGAAAATCTCTCCCCATTTTTTTCTCTCAATATATTTAAATGAGTTAGAAGAATTTTTAATGCAAAATAATGTTGACCAACTCCATTATATTGATAATTTATTTCAAGAACGCATGGGTATATTTGTTAAACTATTAATTCTGCTATATGCAAATGACACAGTTGTTATGTCAGAAACAGCTAATGGTCTACAGAATGCTTTCCGTGAATTTGAAACTTACTGTACTATTTGGAAACTTAAAGTTAATCTCAATAAAACTAAAGTTGTTATCTTTGAAAAAAGAAAAAGTAAAGCACAAAATATTCGTTTTACTCTTTTTGGTGAAGAGTTGCAAACACATGACAGTTACTCGTTTCTAGGACTGTTGTTTCATTATAATGGCAGTTTCTGTAACGCAGGAAAAACACTTGTTGAACAGGCTCAAAAAGCAATGTATGCATTGTATAAAAAAACACCCTACAATTAAAACTGTTTGATGTATTAATATCCCCAATCCTTTTGTACTCCTCAGAAATTTGGGGGTTCGAAAATACCAATATGATTGAGAAATTACATGTACAGTTTTGTAAAAGAATTTTAAACATACGTAGCTCCACAGCAAATATAATGGTATATGGTGAAACGGGTAGGTACCCTCTGAATATTGAACTTAAATCTAGAATGATAATGGTTTGGTATAAACGAATTACAGGTGAAAATAAATTGCCTAGTATAATGTACAAGCTTATGCTGAATTTACATGAAAATGATTTCGCTGATTTTAAATGGATTTCATATATCAAGAATCTATTCAATTGCACGGGACTAAGTTACGTATGGTTACAACAAAAAACTTGCACTATGAATAAAAATTACCTTAGGGTTAGTTTTAAAACTATTCTGTATGACCAATTTATACAACAATGGTATACTGATATTGAACATTCTTCCCGGGGTCAAACATATGCAATATTTAAACATCAATTTCAGTTTGAAAAATACTTAACTATGCTCAAACAAAAAGATAGAATAACTATCTGTAAGCTCAGAACCAGTAATATATCTCTGCCTATAGAGACTGGTCGATGGACTAGAACACCACGTGAAGGCAGAATTTGTCCGCTTTGTTTTACTGGAGTTTGAAGCGAGTATCATTATTTGTTTATGTGTGCAAATGCTTATGTTAGTCAAATCCGCAGAAAATATATACCTATTTATTATACCTCTAATCGATCTGTTCACAAAATGAAAGGATTGATATCAATATGCAATGTTAGAATATTATCAAATCTATCGCTGTTCATTAAATTACTAGAAAGACAATTAAAAAATAATATGTGAATTTCACACATCAAACTGTAAACTTTTGTATACATATAGATATTACTGATTATTTTGTTAAACCTAACATAATTGTATTGTATAATGAATGTGGTTACAGCTTGTTTATCATGGTTTGTTTGTTATCTGTCTATTACAGTATTGTATACTGGGATTGTAACACTGTCTATTATACCTTTGTAATATTATATGGTATGATGAGTATGCTAGTCACTATTATGCCATGGTATGATTGCACTGTATGGTGTGGTATATTATCTATAATACATGTATCATGGAGTGCGAGTAATATATGTGTAATACTGTAATAATATTATTGTATGATTGTTCTGTAAGATGGATGCAACAGTGCCTGCTATACCACTGTGTGAACGCACGTACGGTATGTGTGAATGTAATGCTATGCACTATACCATCGTAATAGTATTGTAAAATGAGTGTAATAATGTATATCACAGTGTATGATGAGTGTCATTGTATGAGCAGTGCGTTATAATGTCTATTATAATAACATATGATAGTACGTATGAACAGTGTGTTTATCATTGTATGAGGAGTGTAATAGTTTCCACTATATTATTGTACGCTAGCATAGTAAGATGAGTGCTCTATGGGAAGGAGATTTCATTGTGTTGTTGTGTGTGGGAAGTAGCAGATAAGTGTTTGTATGCGTAAGGGTGTGCATGTCTGGTTCGAGGGTCTAAGGGTGTGTGTATATATTGGGTTTAATGCTACGAATTGGTGAACTATTTTATAAAAAAAAAAAATATTCTTGTTAAGGCGTCGTGTTTGTAGTGTGAGCCATTGCAGTTTATGGATCATGTCTGTTACTGAGCTGGTGTTGTGATATTTGTTGTTTACGTAGTGTGCTGCTCTTCATTATATTTTTTCTATTTGTTGAATTTGGTTTGTGTTGTGTGGGTCCCAAATAGAAGAGCAGTATTCAAGTTTTGGTCTTTCATATGTGGTGAGTTAGAAAAACCGTCACGGTATTTCCGATTTCGGAGGTCCGAGGTTTATGTTGCATTTTTCTTTGAGTATTGCACACGAGTACCTGCTTATCCGGTCTTATATTATTTCATATTAGATATATTTTAATTTACCGAACATGCATCTTTAAAATAATGCCTTTTGAAAAAACATCCTCGGGTCTTGCTTTCTTAAAATAAATAATTTTGTCTGAGTCTTTAAACTGTTTGTAATAGACCCATAACCAATACAAGCGTTTGTTTAACAGTGTTTGGTATTAAACATGGCGGAAAGAAGTAAAGAACCTGGATCATTCGATCTAAAACAGTTTTCATTTCCAACAGAACAGATTCCAAGATTAAGTATTAATGACCCAGAAGCATCGAGTAGAATTTCCAGAGCGGTAAGAGATAGGAGGACGAGTATTATTAAGATATGCTTATAGTATGTGTTGAAGGCTTATTCAGCATTGTGGTGTACGTGACAACAGACATGCATATCAGTCGACTTACACATTTTTTGTTCTGGTGATAGGGTCAGAGGGAACTGGGGCTAGCAGATCAGTATAGCTTACGTATGATGAACATAGATGATTACCTTATAGCTTCCTTAGTGTCAACAGATATTTTGTATGCTACCTTATCAGGTCGGGGAAAACCACTAACTTGCGTATAATACGCAAACTCGCCTTTTATACGCCAATTGGCGGTCTCACTTAAAAGCGTCTTCAACCGACAACAAGAGTCTTCAAGTGACAACAAGCGTCGCCAGACAAAATCTTCAAAAATACTGAATAAAGTAAGCGATATCAGAAGATATGTTATTCATATAACTATGATCCACCTTTATACCAAACTTCAGGTAGAAATTTTAATAAATGACCGATTCATGATGTTTTTGATTATTACGATCGACGGCTTGGCACACGTGTGTGAATAGAACTCGACAGATTGTGAATCGTCTTCAAACCATATCTCTTAAAATAATTGATAAAGTAAGCGACATCAGAAGATATGTTATTCATATGACTTTGATACAACTATATACCAAATTTTAATTTGATTTGTTAAAAAATGATTGAGCTATCGTGAATTTAATTATACGATTTTACGAAGCCATACGCCGTGTCACATATGTGTACGTAGAAACGTAGGGTAGGGCTTCGCATAGGTTAGACCGGATTATATTGTAGAACTCTCAGCCACACTCTTGAAACGAGCATGTTACCAGACCCTATGGGCGTGGACGTGGTTCTACTCAGGGTCCGTTATATGTTCATGTGACTGATCAATTTAATGTTAGTGTTTAAAAAAAATCCCTAAATACCTATAAGTTTAAACGAAGACTACACTAAAATTTAATGGTTATTGTTGTAAAGGTACAGCTGAAAAATACAATCGTTTTAAACTTCTTTTGAAATAACTGGCACACATGTGTAAATATCGGTATTTCATATAATCAAATACATTTTGTCTGTATACGTAAGAATAACTGTTTCTCTGTTCAAACTCTAAAAAAAATCAAATGTCAATAATTTTCACATCTTGAATCCCGTCCTGCGGGCACACAAGTGTTGAGAAAGCGTAAAAAAGTTCTTCATTTAGCGTCATTGTCATCAGGTAACTAAGTTACAACTTTTGTTGTTTAACAGGACCATGCGTTTCCGTGCAATTCGCGCGAACACGTTTACGTGTCCCTGTTTTTTTTGCGATTGCTGCGGTTTTAGGTATTGTTAACATACCATTCGTAGATGTTAAAAAGTCTGTTTTCTTCCACATATACTTTAGGAACTTGTCAACTTTGCGCGCTTTATCAAACGTTGACAATTCGCGCCACACAACTGTGCTCAACTTGAAATGCTGCGCGTGCGCGGCCAATTCATAGTCTCCAGTACTATGCAGCGATCTACGTACGTCAGAGTACTGCGATTGTTGAATGGTATCCAAACGCTGAATCAGCTCGGGAACCTTTGATATTTTCCAGTCCCCTAGAAGTTTGATGATGTGATTCATCGATTCGCAATTGTTGTTTTTCCAACCTTTTGGAATTGCAGCATTGCGCAATCTTGATTCAATCACCCTGCGCTTAATCGTTGGTAAAATCTTTACTGACCAATATCTTCCTAAACGTGTTCCATACGACTCGTCAATCGTTTGTGCAATGGTATTGAATTCTTTTATTGAATCACAATTCAATAAACCATCTTCACCAAAGATTGATGACATGATCGGGGCCTTGTCTTTATCAATCATGCCAATTTTAACTGACAAATGTCTCGAAACGTTTTCCTGTATGTGTCGTGAACAGAAAGTAAGCGTGGCATCAGGGAAGCTGGTTTCTATGGCCTTAACTAAAGCTTTCTCCTCGTCCGACCCTATAACGAGGTCACACAGGTCAAAGTCAAGATCAAGGACACTGGCACTATGCGTTAAAAACCGCGAGTACGTGAAAAAGCTCGCATCCCAATGTAAATAAACAGGACCAAGCATAATAGGAGAATTTTCCTTACATTTCCTAACCAAGTTGGGGTTATTAAAAACCAAGGCAGTAACGAAGCATGGTCCAAGGTTAAATGTCCTATCAGTTCCTAAAATTGCGCCGTTTTTGGTACAAGCGGTTTTCATATCCGTCAGCTGGTTGTCGGTATAAAGGATAACTGAAGGGGGTTTCCCTTTTGTTACAATTACTTCTCGTATGAAATTGCTGTCATGGATTTCATTGAGAACACTTAAAAGTCCGTCCGCCGTATTTTGACTATAACTGTTTGGTTGTTTGTCGTCACGTTTTTTTTTCTGCAAAAGATACTTGGCATTGTGAATTTGCCTAAGGTCTCTGGGTTCATTTATAGAATCGTCCAGTGACTTAATGTCGTCTAGAATGACTTTCGGAGCCTGTTTGTTGATTAATCTATCGTGTATCGCCTCCTTTGTAGCGAGAGTTGCGCACTGATACTCTTGTTTTGTATGTTTAGAACGGCCGTGGATAGAGGGTTGTGAAGGAAATATTCCTAAATACTCTGCAATAGCAATGTTCATCGCGTCAAACCCTGGCATTCTGTCGAACCAACTTATACGTTTTTTTATAGGACGCGTCGCATGCAAGGGTCGAGTAATACCGTTTCAGTACAAAAACCTTGTCCAATCGTGGCTGTGGGTTAAGTGGTACGGTTTTTGTTTCACCATCTTACAAAACATATCTGCACCAGATTTCCTGTCGTTGTCAAAAGAAAATAGGTGTCCTTAACTGATGTCGATTTTGTGTTCCAAGCACCACAATCATCAACGGATTCCCTCCTCCTATTATTGTCCATCCGCGATCTGTTGGTCGTATTATCAATTATGAAATATACATTATCTTTACAACCAGAGGGGACAGTGGTGTGAGCGTCGCTAAAATTCGCCGTCTGTACCATCGAGTAAACCTCAGTCAGAGATAAAAACTTACCGTTCGTCAGTTTGTTGGTAATTGTAGTTTGGGCTGTAAGTATGGACGTATGTTCGTCAACTTCGACGTCGGAGTCACTGTATCGTATAGTGGCATCGTCACTGTCATCAAACATCGGGTCAGGGCAACTTGGAAAGCTGTCATCACTGTCACTTATGCTATCAAATGTATCCCTTACCTTTGCAACATTGTCAGACAAGTCAAGTTTTGTCCGAAATCAGGGGCATTTGGGCAGTTTTAGTTTCTGTCATTTACATTGTTTCACCTCGGATGCAGCATGCAATGTCGGAAACTGATCTGTGTCGTCAAGGGGTATTATGCAGTCAGGTTTGTTGTCTAACAGGGGAACAAAGTGGTTTGGCGTCCATGTACCACAAACATGAGGAGAACAGCTGGTCCATATTATACATATGGTGTCAGAAATAGTACACTCTGTCCTAGGTGTGAAGGTTGTGTTCAAAATACCGATATGGCTGTCTAGATAACCATTTACAGGTGGGTAGATGGACCTTATTCTAGGGGAGAGAATAGAAGAGGCAGCATGAATTGTCCAAGCAGACGAAAACGCTCCATTCAGGGCACTGTCCCTACATGCGTCAGAGAAACATGGGCTTACAAACGAAATATTGGCTTGATTGTGGTAGGGTTCATAAAAAGATTGATTCGACACCAGCTCTGTGCATGTCCTAACACGCAATTCCGAAGCTAAACTTTCATCACCATTGATAGCGACAGATAATGCGATGAACAGACAATTGCCGTTCCCCATAACGCTTACAGGCGTCATGTCTGAAACGGTATTGTTCACCAAACCAAGGGTTACAGTATCGGCCCTTAAATTTGAAGAGACGTCATATACAATACTCGGTTTGAGAGACAAAACCAATTCCTCAAATCGCATCAAGATCTTCTCTACCCTAACAACAGTAGCCAAGTTATTCGACTGTACAGCACGTGCAAGTCTGATGAGAGCAGAATCCTAGTCATACTTGCCATTTCGTGAGCAACAAGTGATACAAGTGTATCCACAAAGAGAGGATTCTATAATAACGACATCGGCAACAGGAATATCTTCACATTAAATGTGGAAATGATTACTACACTTTGTACAGGAAACATAACGCTGTGAATCACCACGAGTATTACATGATATACATACTTTACGAGACATGTTCAAATGTGTGTATAATATATATATCTATATGCGTTATAGTGTGTTATGTACCAGTGTATGTATGCGTTAATTATTATATAAATCAAATATTTAAGTACACACGTAAATCGAAATTCAATCAGATTCAACCTCACCAAACTTCTGATAGTCGCTCTCCAAAGGCTGGCCAGTGAATGAATACGAATATCTAATCACGGTGCATGTATAACACGGCGTTCACGTGCATGTGCCCGTTTTCAGAACACCTTATTTGGGCAAAGGTGTGCGCATAGGTATAGATCACAGTTCAAACTAATGGAATTTTGAATCGTACGTACAAGACACGAATACATGTTTTATTAAAAAAAAATCAAAACTCAATTCTGAATGCGAGAAATTTAAATTAAAAAAAAATCACATTATATATGTATAAGTAAAAAAATATATATTCAGACCACAATGACCTGTCGTGTTGACCTCCGATTAGCATAACTGATAACATGTGGATCGATATTGGTCTACCAATAGGAAAGTACGTACCATTGAGTTATTTCTATTGTTATATGTGCTATAAAAAGAGCAGCGTTTCAAACGAAGTTGGTATTATTATCGACATGGCGAACACAGCTATCCTCGGACACAGCTTCGTGACGAGATTGGAGAGGGCCAGGACTGGATTACTGGACGATGTCCTGTTCTTTGGGAAAGGGGGAGCTATGTCCATATCACTAATACATAGTGATGTATTCAAGAAGTTTATGGCGACCGATGTCTCCAGAGTTTTCCTGCAGGTTACAGGAAATGACATCACTGCAATGTCGACACTGGAGGGAATAGTTGGAAACATCGACCAACTGGTCGGACATATTTTGGAGAAGCCCGACCCCCCAACAATCATTATCGGGAGTGTCTTTTACAGATACCGTCCACGAGGGATGACGGCCACAGAATATAACATGCTAGTGGAAGCCCTGAATGAAGCCCTTGCGAGGAAATACAGGCAGCACCCCAAGGTCCACTTCTGGTCCCTGCGGGGGCTGAGGCGCCTCAAAAGGTCCGACTTCGTTGATGGGGTTCACCTGAACCGTGCTATCACTTGGCGGTTCTCCAGACAGGTTCGACTAGCGTTGTTCTGTTAAAGACTGCGCTAGTCGCCTGCTTAAACGGCCCTTTTCAGGGCCACCATCTTTCTCAAAAAGTCCTGNACAGGAAATGACATCACTGCAATGTCGACACTGGAGGGAATAGTTGGAAACATCGACCAACTGGTCGGACATATTTTGGAGAAGCCCGACCCCCCAACAATCATTATCGGGAGTGTCTTTTACAGATACCGTCCACGAGGGATGACGGCCACAGAATATAACATGCTAGTGGAAGCCCTGAATGAAGCCCTTGCGAGGAAATACAGGCAGCACCCCAAGGTCCACTTCTGGTCCCTGCGGGGGCTGAGGCGCCTCAAAAGGTCCGACTTCGTTGATGGGGTTCACCTGAACCGTGCTATCACTTGGCGGTTCTCCAGACAGGTTCGACTAGCGTTGTTCTGTTAAAGACTGCGCTAGTCGCCTGCTTAAACGGCCCTTTTCAGGGCCACCATCTTTCTCAAAAAGTCCTGAGAAAGTGACGATTTGTTTCTAAAATATCAGTTTGAAGTGCGCTCCGGACGCGGGTCGCATATTTCCCGCATATTATAGAGGGCCAGAGTTCTGACGTTAATCGACGACAGACCGATATGAAAAAAGTCGATAAAACGTCAGAATAATTCGGACTAGTGACCTTACAGCTTCCCTTAGTGCTAACAGATGTTTTGTTGGTTTAAATTACCTTACAGCTTCCCTCAGTGCTAACAGATGTTTTGTTGGTTTAAATTACTTTACAGCTTCCCTCAGTGCTAACAGATATTTTGTCGGTGACCTTACAGCTTCCCTCAGTGCTAACAGATATTTTGTCGGTGACCTTACAGCTTCCCTCAGTGCTAACAGATATTTTGTCGGTGACCTTACAGCTTCCCTCAGTGCTAACAGATATTTTGTCGGTGACCTTACAGCTTCCCTCAGTGCTAACAGATATTTTGTCGGTGACCTTACAGCTTCCCTCAGTGCTAACAGATATTTTGTCGGTGACCTTACAGCTTCCCTCAGTGCTAACAGATATTTTGTCGGTGACCTTACAGCTTCCCTCAGTGCTAACAGATATTTTGTCGGTGACCTTACAGCTTCCCTCAGTGCTAACAGATATTTTGTCGGTGACCTTACAGCTTCCCTCAGTGCTAACAGATATTTTGTCGGTGACCTTACAGCTTCCCTCAGTGCTAACAGATATTTTGTCGGTGACCTTACAGCTTCCCTCAGTGCTAACAGATATTTTGTTGGTTTAAATTACTTTACAGCTTCCCTCAGTGCTAACAGATATTTTGTCGGTGACCTTACAGCTTCCCTCAGTGCTAACAGATATTTTGTCGGTGACCTTACAGCTTCCCTCAGTGCTAACAGATATTTTGTCGGTGACCTTACAGCTTCCCCCAGTGCTAACAGATATTTTGTCAGTGACCTTACAGCTTCCCCCAGTGCTAATAGATATCTTATTTGTTACCTTACAGCTTCCTGTAGTGTTAACAGATACCAATCTGGTGACCTCAGCTTTGCACTGGGACCTGGACTACCTGTCTAAAAATATTGGCGATGGAGAATTTGTTGTACATATTTCTAAAAACAAAAATTTCCAATATTTTGATGATAAAAAAATGACAAATGTGAAGGAATTCAGAAAGCCCAGCGAAAAACAAGACATGAAATTTTCAGAATTTGTGGAAAAACTGCATCAGGCAAAGCCTGGAGAGGACAGGTAAGTACTTGTATCTGTGAGTTTTTAACCACTAATATTTGTGGGGTATGTCATTGTATTCACTCATTCGTTTGCAAGGGAATTTGTGGTATATTTGTTAAATTTACTGATGTTAATGATATTGACACATTTAAATACAAGATCTATTCTTGTTCATGATCATTTTACCGGTTTTATTCTCATATTTAATATTTCATTACTTATAAATTAGTTATTAGTTTTGTTTTTGCTCACATAAATGGTAAATGGTGTTGAAAAGCAATAATTTTCACAAATGAAAACCACAAGTGAAAATATTGGTATATCTTACCATACAAGTAAAATATATTATGGTATTAAATGGGAAAACCATTAAAATTTCTATTTATTTAATTTTTAAAAGTAAAATGATGGAAATATTGACAACACTTGATAACAAGGCTGAGCGCCCTTTTTTAATGACCTTCTTCTTCTTTCTGTAAGAGACGAATCTCCAATGTATTTCACCGTTTTCTGCTATTCTCTGGTAGGATTTTCTATCATAAATGTTATCAGTTTTGTAGGAGTGTTGATATAATGTAGTGTTTACCGTTTTTGATTGGTCAAGATCAAATTTATATTGGACCTTGTATCATCATAATGTTACAATTCATATATCTTCACTGCAGTAAATGAAAAAGTTTTTATCACACTGATAATTTCTGATATTTCACAGGTAAAAATGTAATAAATTGATTTATAATCAGTTGGTTTATATAGGATTTTATCAAAACTTGGAAACTATACTGTGAGTAGCATATAAGGGTTGGTAGCTATAGGACAGAGGAACCAGTGGGTATGAAGAGACCAGAGCAGAACAAGAGCAGAGCAAGTTCAGTAATATAAAGTTGCTGTTCTTTAGAGTATTCATCAAAGTTCAGTAAGGTTGCTGTCCTTTACAATATTGGTTAAAGTTCAGTAAGGTTGCTGTCCTTTAGAGTATTAGTTAAAGTTCAGTAAGGTTGCTGTCCTTTGGAATATTGGTTAAAGTTCAGTAAGGTTGCTGTCCTTTAGAGTATTTGTTAAAGTTCAGTAAGGTTGCTGTCCTTTAGAATATTGGTTAAAGTTCAGTAAGGTTGCTGTCCTGTCCTTTAGAATATTGGTTAAAGTTCAGTAAGGTTGCTGTCCTTTAGAATATTGGTTAAAGTTCAGTAAGGTTGCTGTCCTGTCCTTTAGAATATTGGTTAAAGTTCAGTAAGGGTCCTGTCCTTTAGAATATTGGTTAAAGTTCAGTAAGGTTGCTGTCCTTTAGAATATTGGTTAAAGTTCAGTAAGGTTGCTGTCCTGTCCTTTAGAATATTGGTTAAAGTTCAGTAAGGTTGCTGTCCTTTAGAATATTGGTTAAAGTTCAGTAAGGTTGCTGTCCTGTCCTTTAGAATATTGGTTAAAGTTCAGTAAGGTTGCTGTCCTTTAGAATATTGGTTAAAGTTCAGTAAGGTTGCTGTCCTGTCCTTTAGAATATTGGTTAAAGTTCAGTAAGGTTGCTGTCCTTTAGAATATTGGTTAAAGTTCAGTAAGGTTGCTGTCCTGTCCTTTAGAATATTGGTTAAAGTTCAGTAAGGTTGCTGTCCTTTAGAATATTGGTTAAAGTTCAGTAAGGTTGCTGTCCTGTCCTTTAGAATATTGGTTAAAGTTCAGTAAGGTTGCTGTCCTTTAGAATATTGGTTAAAGTTCAGTAAGGTTGCTGTCCTGTCCTTTAGAATATTGGTTAAAGTTCAGTAAGGTTGCTGTCCTTTAGAATATTGGTTAAAGTTCAGTAAGGTTGCTGTCCTGTCCTTTAGAATATTGGTTAAAGTTCAGTAAGGTTGCTGTCCTTTAGAATATTGGTTAAAGTTCAGTAAGGTTGCTGTCCTGTCCTTTAGAATATTGGTTAAAGTTCAGTAAGGTTGCTGTCCTTTAGAATATTGGTTAAAGTTCAGTAAGGTTGCTGTCCTGTCCTTTAGAATATTGGTTAAAGTTCAGTAAGGTTGCTGTCCTTTAGAATATTGGTTAAAGTTCAGTAAGGTTGCTGTCCTGTCCTTTAGAATATTGGTTAAAGTTCAGTAAGGTTGCTGTCCTTTAGAATATTGGTTAAAGTTCAGTAAGGTTGCTGTCCTGTCCTTTAGAATATTGGTTAAAGTTCAGTAAGGTTGCTGTCCTTTAGAATATTGGTTAAAGTTCAGTAAGGTTGCTGTCCTGTCCTTTAGAATATTGGTTAAAGTTCAGTAAGGTTGCTGTCCTTTAGAATATTGGTTAAAGTTCAGTAAGGTTGCTGTCCTGTCCTTTAGAATATTGGTTAAAGTTCAGTAAGGTTGCTGTCCTTTAGAATATTGGTTAAAGTTCAGTAAGGTTGCTGTCCTGTCCTTTAGAATATTGGTTAAAGTTCAGTAAGGTTGCTGTCCTTTAGAATATTGGTTAAAGTTCAGTAAGGTTGCTGTCCTGTCCTTTAGAATATTGGTTAAAGTTCAGTAAGGTTGCTGTCCTTTAGAATATTGGTTAAAGTTCAGTAAGGTTGCTGTCCTGTCCTTTAGAATATTGGTTAAAGTTCAGTAAGGTTGCTGTCCTTTAGAATATTGGTTAAAGTTCAGTAAGGTTGCTGTCCTGTCCTTTAGAATATTGGTTAAAGTTCAGTAAGGTTGCTGTCCTTTAGAATATTGGTTAAAGTTCAGTAAGGTTGCTGTCCTGTCCTTTAGAATATTGGTTAAAGTTCAGTAAGGTTGCTGTCCTTTAGAATATTGGTTAAAGTTCAGTAAGGTTGCTGTCCTGTCCTTTAGAATATTGGTTAAAGTTCAGTAAGGTTGCTGTCCTTTAGAATATTGGTTAAAGTTCAGTAAGGTTGCTGTCCTGTCCTTTAGAATATTGGTTAAAGTTCAGTAAGGTTGCTGTCCTTTAGAATATTGGTTAAAGTTCAGTAAGGTTGCTGTCCTGTCCTTTAGAATATTGGTTAAAGTTCAGTAAGGTTGCTGTCCTTTAGAATATTGGTTAAAGTTCAGTAAGGTTGCTGTCCTGTCCTTTAGAATATTGGTTAAAGTTCAGTAAGGTTGCTGTCCTTTAGAATATTGGTTAAAGTTCAGTAAGGTTGCTGTCCTGTCCTTTAGAATATTGGTTAAAGTTCAGTAAGGTTGCTGTCCTTTAGAATATTGGTTAAAGTTCAGTAAGGTTGCTGTCCTGTCCTTTAGAATATTGGTTAAAGTTCAGTAAGGTTGCTGTCCTTTAGAATATTGGTTAAAGTTCAGTAAGGTTGCTGTCCTGTCCTTTAGAATATTGGTTAAAGTTCAGTAAGGTTGCTGTCCTTTAGAATATTGGTTAAAGTTCAGTAAGGTTGCTGTCCTGTCCTTTAGAATATTGGTTAAAGTTCAGTAAGGTTGCTGTCCTTTAGAATATTGGTTAAAGTTCAGTAAGGTTGCCGTCCTGTCCTTTAGAATATTGGTTAAAGTTCAGTAAGGGTCCTGTCCTTTAGAATATTGGTTAAAGTTCAGTAAGGTTGCTGTCCTTTAGAATATTGGTTAAAGTTCAGTAAGGTTGCTGTCCTGTCCTTTAGAATATTGGTTAAAGTTCAGTAAGGTTGCTGTCCTTTAGAATATTGGTTAAAGTTCAGTAAGGTTGCCGTCCTGTCCTTTAGAATATTGGTTAAAGTTCAGTAAGGTTGCTGTCCTTTAGAATATTGGTTAAAGTTCAGTAAGGTTGCTGTCCTGTCCTTTAGAATATTGGTTAAAGTTCAGTAAGGTTGCTGTCCTTTAGAATATTGGTTAAAGTTCAGTAAGGTTGCTGTCCTTTAGAGTATTGGTTAAAGTTCAGTAAGGTTGCTGTCCTGTCCTTTAGAATATTGGTTAAAGTTCAGTAAGGTTGCTGTCCTTTAGAATATTGGTTAAAGTTCAGTAAGGTTGCTGTCCTGTCCTTTAGAATATTGGTTAAAGTTCAGTAAGGTTGCTGTCCTTTAGAATATTGGTTAAAGTTCAGTAAGGTTGCTGTCCTGTCCTTTAGAATATTGGTTAAAGTTCAGTAAGGTTGCTGTCCTTTAGAATATTGGTTAAAGTTCAGTAAGGTTGCTGTCCTGTCCTTTAGAATATTGGTTAAAGTTCAGTAAGGTTGCTGTCCTTTAGAATATTGGTTAAAGTTCAGTAAGGTTGCTGTCCTGTCCTTTAGAATATTGGTTAAAGTTCAGTAAGGTTGCTGTCCTTTAGAATATTGGTTAAAGTTCAGTAAGGTTGCTGTCCTGTCCTTTAGAATATTGGTTAAAGTTCAGTAAGGTTGCTGTCCTTTAGAATATTGGTTAAAGTTCAGTAAGGTTGCTGTCCTGTCCTTTAGAATATTGGTTAAAGTTCAGTAAGGTTGCTGTCCTTTAGAATATTGGTTAAAGTTCAGTAAGGTTGCCGTCCTGTCCTTTAGAATATTGGTTAAAGTTCAGTAAGGTTGCTGTCCTTTAGAATATTGGTTAAAGTTCAGTAAGGTTGCTGTCCTGTCCTTTAGAATATTGGTTAAAGTTCAGTAAGGTTGCTGTCCTTTAGAATATTGGTTAAAGTTCAGTAAGGTTGCTGTCCTGTCCTTTAGAATATTGGTTAAAGTTCAGTAAGGTTGCTGTCCTTTAGAATATTGGTTAAAGTTCAGTAAGGTTGCTGTCCTTTAGAGTATTGGTTAAAGTTCAGTAAGGTTGCTGTCCTGTCCTTTAGAATATTGGTTAAAGTTCAGTAAGGTTGCTGTCCTTTAGAGTATTGGTTAAAGTTCAGTAAGGTTGCTGTCCTTTAGAGTATTGGTTTAAGTTCAGTAAGGTTGCTGTCCTGTCCTTTAGAATATTGGTTAAAGTTCAGTAAGAATGCTGTCCTTTAGAATATTGGTTAAAGTTCAGTAAGGTTGCCGTCCTGTCCTTTAGAATATTGGTTAAAGTTCAGTAAGGTTGCTGTCCTTTAGAATATTGGTTAAAGTTCAGTAAGGTTGCTGTCTTGTCCTTTAGAATATTGGTTAAAGTTCAGTAAGGTTGATTAAAGAGTTCATCTGTTTGGTATCTTTGCAGACTTTACTTACAACAGATTCTACATGATACAGTGGGGAAGAAAGTCATCCAAGATTTCCTTGGTTTTAACTGGCGTTGGGTGACAATGCAACAGAAAGACAATAATTTTGGAGAAATGACCTCAAATCTTCTTTTGGTTGGAATGGAAGGTCAGTGTGACATTGTTAAACATCAATATGCTATGTATTGCTAGATAACTTACAGATGGATTAATACCATGTAAAGCTGTTGTATGGAATTTTGATATACATTTATACTGTAAACATGTTTATCAAAGAAGCCAAACTCCCCTTATTGGATACATGTATGCTTTGAATAAATTCATACTTATTTTCTTTGTGTACAAAGACTTGTTGTACTATATACATTATAATGACGTCCATGTATTAGACCCCTTTACAAGATCAGCATACATACATTGAATTATTTCCCTTTGAACAAATAAGTCTCAAATTTGATGATTGGTGCAGGAGGAAAGCAAGAGCAAAATATTTACACCTAGTCCAGTGTATCCAGGGGACCCCAAATATTGTACCAATATGTTTGATATTCCTATAAATTATGATATAAATGCCATTGCCTACTTCAGACACGAGTTTTAAACATGATAGTTCTAATACTGTTTGACTGTTACACTTCTAAATGAAGACAGGAGGGGTAGGATGCGATGTAGATTTTTTTCTTTGTTTTCTGCAGGTAATGTCACACCAGGACATTACGACGAACAAGAAAATTTCTTTGCACAAGTGCGAGGCTACAAAAGATTTATTCTCTTCCCGCCCACACAGTTTGCCTGCATGTACCCATACCCCATATATCATCCCTGTGATCGACAAAGTCAGGTAAGTCTTTCTAGAGCTGTGTAAACTCTGTGTATAAATTAGGTTATACGCCATGAACAAATGTAAGGCAATTGATACATGTTTCAAATATGGCTCCTGACTACTTCTATGACTGACCAATGACCGCCATTACTTGCACTGTTCCTTCAACATCTGGAGTATGGAATATATTCTGAACCCGTCATGGCTAATTATACAACAACGGGAGGCTCATCAACTTCTTTCTCCTTTCAACTGCCACACTACTGGAGCACTGTGTCAATGCGCGTACATTACAACCACTATAGATCAGAAAAAATAACCACTATAAATCAGAAAAAATAACCACTATAAGTCAGAAAAAATAACCATTATAAATCAGAAAAAAATAACCATTATAAATCAGAAAAAATAACCATTATAAATCAGAAAAAATAACCACTATAAATCAGAAAAAATAACAACTATAAATCAGAAAAAATGTTAGAAGTGCTACTCAGATTAATTATTTGAGCTATGAAAAGGAAAGAAAAATAGCTTTGTTCACTGTATGTTTTATAAACGTACTAAAATATTGATGTAGATTCACTGGAACTATATAATCCTAGCAACCACAGCTACCGTAATTACCATAGTATTGACCCACTTCAACTGTTTTTCCTTTGAGCAGCATCTATAGAAATTTTTGGATGTAAATATAAGAACTGGCCTTGAACATGTTTGTTGCTAAATGTGTTCATACTATGTTTGTTATCCCCTGTTAAACCATACAAGTGTTTAGTATGACAAAACCTTGAACAACTTCGCATTTTGGTTTTCTATGTTGAAGGTCAAGGTCACTGTTACTATTTTTAGAAAAAAACTTCATTGATTTACTGACTTCATTTCTCAACAGTATTTCATGAAACTTCATACAAATGTTTGGTATGGCAATGCCTTGAACAAGTTCTCGTTTTGGGTTTCTAGGTTGAAGGTCAAGTTCACTGTTACTATTTCAGCTCACCTGCCCGAAAGGCAAGTGAACTTATGCCATGGTGCGGCGTCCGTCCGTTGTCCGTCATCCGTCTGTCCGGCATCAACTTTTTACTTTAAACAACTTTTTTTCTGTAACCAAAAGGCCTAGGATGATGATATTTGGCCAGTAGCATGCTGGGATCAAGGGGTACCAAGTTTGTTCAAATAAATGACCTTGACCCACTTTCAAGGTCACAGGGGTCAAATATGTTAAAATCCTCAAACAACTTCTTCTCATTAACCAAAAGGCCCAGGGTACTGATATTAGGCCTGTAGCCAAGTTTGTTCAAATGAATGACCTTGATCCACTTTCAACCTAATGTCCTTGTTTGACAACCAAGGTCACAGGCGTCATATGTTTAAATCTTTTAATAGGTTCTTATGACATCTTATGATAACAAGTGTGAGATTAATACCAGGTGAGCGATGCAGGCCCATTGGGCCTCTTGTTAAAAAAGCCACTTTGTCATCGCTCTAGCAACTTCATTTCCTCTTACATATGCCACAATGTGTGAATGCATGGGGATTTGTATCACTTCTGATGCCTTGTTATGTTATCTTTCAGGTTGACTTTGAAAATCCAGACTTTACAAAGTTTCCAAAATTCAAAGAAGCTTCTGGTTTAGAGACAGTAGTGGGGCCTGGAGATGTCTTATATATTCCCATGTACTGGTGAGTGATAGATCATGTATTCCCATGCACAAGTGTATATTATATTTTCCCCAGTTCAGACAAGCAATATTCCTAAGCTTCACATGAAGGTATGTTATCTTTACTTATTCAGAAAATTGTGTTTTACATCCAACAGGTGGCACCATGTTCAGTCTCTCCCTTCTCATGGCTACACTATTTCTGTCACCTTTTGGTACAAGGTAAGTCTAATCCGGCATTGTCCAAACAGTATGCTTTACTGCTGAAGGTTATACAGTGTTATGCATTGCTGCCTGGTATACATAGAAATACTTTGAAGTGTGAAATTGTTTAGAAATTAATGATGTTTCAAGCCTATTCAATCATGACTATGTGAATGATGATATGTGAGAGCTTAACATTAATGGTGCTTTTTATAATTGCAGGCAGGGCAGTCAGAAAAGATAGAATATCCATTAAAACCCAAACAGAAGGTGGCTATGATGAGAAACATAGAGAAAATGATACACCAGGCTTTAAACGATTCCTCAGAGGTAAGTTACACCAAGTATTAGACAATCCCTCAGAGGTAAGTTACACCAAGTAATAAACAATCCCTCAGAGGTAAGTTACAGCAAGTATTATATAATCCCACAGAGGTACGTTACACCAAGTATTAGACAATCCCACAGAGATATGTTACACCAAGTATTAGACAATCCCACAGAGGTACGTTACACCAAGTATTAGACAATCCCACAGAGGTACGTTACACCAAGTATTAGACAATCCCACAGAGGTACGTTACACCAAGTATTAGACAATCCCTCAGAGGTAAGTTACAGCAAGTATTAGACAATCCCTCAGAGGTACGTTACACCAAGTATTATATAATCCCTCAGAGGTAAGTTACACCTAGTATTAGACAATCCCTCAGAGGTAAGTTACAGCAAGTATTAGACAATCCCACAGAGGTACGTTACACCAAGTATTAAATAACCCCACAGAGATATGTTACACCAAGTAATAGACTATTCCTCAGAGGTAAGTTACACCAAGTATTAGACAATCCCTCAGAGGTAAGTTACACCAAGTATTATATAATCCCACAAAGGTAAGTTACACCAAGTATTAAACAACCCCACAGAGGTAAGTTACGCCAAGTACATTGTAATAGACAAGCCCTCAGAGGTAAGATACACCAAGTACATTGTAATAGCCCATACCTCAGAGGTAAGATACACCAAGTAATATATAATCCCACAAAGGTAAGTTACACCTAGTATTAAACAACCCCACGGAGGTAAGTTACACCAAGCAATAGACAATCCCTCAGAGGTACGTTACACCAAGTATTAAATAATCCAACAGAGGTAAGATACACCAAGTAATATATAATCCCACAAAGGTAAGTTCCACCAAGTATTACACAACCCCACAGAGGTACGTTACACCAAGTATTAAATCCCACAGAGGTAAGTTACACCAAGTATTAAACAACCCCACAGAGGTATGTTACAGCAAGTATTAAACAATCCCACAGAGGTAAGTTACACCAAGTATTATATAATCCCACAGAGGTAAGTTACACCAAGTATTAAACAACCCCACAGAGGTAAGTTACACCAAGTATTAAACAATCCCACAGAGGTAAGTTACACCAAGTATTATATAATCCCACAGAGGTAAGTTACACCAAGTATTAAACAACCCCACAGAGGTAAGTTACACCAAGTATTAAACAACCCCACAGAGGTAAGTTACACCAAGTATTATACAATCCCACAGAGGTAAGTTACACCAAGTATTAAACAACCCCACAGAGGTAAGTTACACCAAGTATTAAACAACCCCACAGAGGTAAGTTACACCAAGTATTAAACAACCCCACAGAGGTAAGTTACACCAAGTATTAAACAATCCCACAGAGGTAAGTTACACCAAGTATTAAACAACCCCACAGAGGTAAGTTACACCAAGTATTAAACAACCCCACAGAGGTAAGTTACACCAAGTATTAAACAATCCCATAGAGGTATGTTACAGCAAGTATTAAACAACCCCACAGAGGTAAGTTACACCAAGTATTAAACAACCCCAAAGAGGTACGTTACACCAAGTATTAAACAATCCCACAGAGGTATGATACACCAAGTATTATATAATCCCACAGAGGTAAGTTACTCCAAGTATTAAACAATGCCACATTGGTAAGTTTCACCAAGTATTAAACAACCCCACAGAGGTAAGTTACACCAAGTATTAAACAATCCCACAGAGGTATGTTACACATAGTATTAAACAATCCCACAGAGGTAAGTTACACCAAGTATTAAACAACCCCACATAGGTACATACAACAAGTATTAAACAATCCCATAGAGGTATGTTACAGCAAGTATTAAACAATCCCATAGAGGTATGTTACAGCAAGTATTAAACAACCCCGCATAGGTACATACACCAAGTCTTAAACAATCCCACAGAGGAAAGTTACACCAAGTTTTAAACACCCCCACAGAGATATGTTACACCAAGTTTTAAACAACCCCGCAGAGGTAAGTTACACCAAGAAATCCCACAGAGGTAAGTTACTCCAAGTATTTAACAATGCCACATTGGTAAGTTTCACCCAGTATTAAACAACCCCACATATTGAAGTTACACCAAGTAATCCCACAGAGGTAAGTTCCACCAAGTAATACAACAGAGGTAAGTTACACAAAGTTTTAAACAACCCCGCAGAGGTAAGTTACACCAAGTATTAAACAACCCCACAGAGGTAAGTTACACCAAGTGTTAAACAATCGCACAGATGTAAGTTACACCAAGTATTAAACAACCCCACAGAGATATGTTACACCAAGTTTTAAACAACCCCACAGAGGTAAGTTACACCAAGTATTAGACAATCCCACAGAGGTAAGTTACACCAACTATTAAACAAGGCCACAGAGCTATATTACTAGAGATCTGTTACATATTTCATAAATTTGAAATAAAAATAGTTCCTCATAAAACCTTGTTCTGGATACAGCCTTGTGGGTAGTAACCTGAATGTTATATTGAAATCTGTAAATTTCCAATTAAATTCTTCCATTAAATTGTCATGTAATATAAATTAATTTGATTCGCGAATCATTTTACATTATAAAACCTACCTTAAGATACAGCTACATGTAAATAAAAAATAGGATTAAAACTGCGTAGGTAATGTTGCCTCATTGCTGTACACAGTAAGTGTTCTTGTTATTTTTCAGATGCCGGAGTTTATGAGCAATATGACATTGGGACGATACACATGAACTGTGATCATCATCAACATCATCATCAAGTATATTGGACTTAACAAATTTCTGTGATTATGACTTTTATGCCAGGTCTCTGATTGGTTCATGTTGTTACAATATCTGCTGCCAGACACAAGTCTCTGATTGGTTCATGTTGTTACAATATCTGCTGCCAGACACAAGTCTCTGATTGGTTCATGTTGTTACAATATCTGCTGCCAGACACAAGTCTCTGATTGGTTCATGTTGTTACAATATCTGCTGCCAGACACAAGTCTCTGATTGGTTCATGTTGTTACAATATCTGCTGCCAGACACAAGTCTCTGATTGGTTCATGTTGTTACAATATCTGCTGCCAGACACAAGTCTCTGATTGGTTCATGTTGTTACAATATCTGCTGCCAGACACAAGTCTCTGATTGGTTCATGTTGTTACAATATCTGCTGCCAGACACAAGTCTCTGATTGGTTCATGTTGTTACAATATCTGCTGCCAGACACAAGTCTCTGATTGGTTCATGTTGTTACAATATCTGCTGCCAGACACAAGTCTCTGATTGGTTCATGTTGTTACAATATCTGCTGCCAGACACAAGTCTCTGATTGGTTCATGTTGTTACAATATCTGCTGCCAGACACAAGTCTCTGATTGGTTCATGTTGTTACAATATCTGCTGCCAGACACAAGTCTCTGATTGGTTCATGTTGTTACAATATCTGCTGCCAGACACAAGTCTCTGATTGGTTCATGTTGTTACAATATCTGCTGCCAGACACAAGTCTCTGATTGGTTCATGTTGTTACAATATCTGCTGCCAGACACAAGTCTCAGATTTGTCTGCAATGTCTCAAATTTTACTGCAGACACAAGACAAAAGCAAATTTATCAGGAAATTCAGTGTGTCATGCAAAACCTGTTTGTTTTTATCACATTTTAAAGAGGATTAAAGCATCGAGGTGCTCTTTTAGCTCTGACTCCAGTTATGTATAGCCATGAGCTAATTTTGTGCCTGACATTCGTATCCAACCTGAAAACTTAAAAGGTTTTAGGGTAAGGTTTTTTAAATGCTGCTAACTCCATAAGGATGCCATGAGCAAACTTCTGGTTCAGCAGATGTATTTTAGGTGTGATATAATGACAATTGTATGTTGGAATCATTTGTAATTTTTCCTGATTTTTTGATTGGCTTACTAACTTAGAGGTACGCCTTTATGTTTTATGTAACCTACATTTTCTCAAAATTGTTTTTTGATGCTAAAACAAAGGTTTAGCCATGGCTGCTGCCAGTAAGTTTCAGTCTTTTATTGAGTTTATCCTAAAATCAGCCTCGCTCACAGGCTGTTTACTGACAATTCGATGCCTAGGTTATTTGTGTAGCAGTAGTACAAAACTAAGGTCTTTATGACAGACCTAGGATAGAGACAAGGTTTGTGCCTCCTTTAAAGACAGAGCCTAATACTCCACCTTTATTTCTGCTGCATCATCAGGACATTTTCTACCTAACAGTGCTGGGTTTACTCGATACATTTACATAGTGCTGTTTATAGTAGTGTTAGTTTATCATGTTTGTTAAAGTTTGCTTATCATTACATGAATTGATGTTGTTCATAACTTATTTTTGTCTTGTGGTGATAATTAATGTCTCAATGATAAAATGTATGAGATTGCAATGCAATCTAACAGGCAGTTTTATAATGAGTTGTCCTTCTTTGTTATTGTGTATGTGACATAAGGAAGTTTTATACTGAGTCGTCTTTCTTTGTTATTGTGTATGTGACATAAAGAAGTTTTATACTGAGTCGTCTTTCTTTGTTATTGTGTATGTGACATAAAGGGATTAATTGGTCACAATGAAAAGCTTTGATTTTTATGAAACTTCTACAAATACTAGTTGTGTCAATTAACTGTGGCATATTCATGTATCAACCGTGATATGAAATTGAGTGATTTTGGCACTTGAATTGTTTAGTGAGAGATTTCTTGAAAAATTGCATTTATTTTCATGAAAGTTCCTGAAATACCTATGGAATCATAGGATTGCAATGAAACTTGTATAGTTTATACTTACTGCACAACTGCCTTGCTCAAGGTCAATGTCCCAAAAAATTCACAAATATTTCATATGGCTTCTATGATCTGATTTATAATACGACAGAAAATATGTTGCATTTTTAGCACAGGGTAAAGTTGCCCTGGGGGTGTGGTTTGTTGTCCATCCTAAACAGGTCTGATTATTGCCTATCTCAAAAAACTACTGAACTCCATTTCTTTAGAAGCTTCCCCTTTGTCCATATTTCTGCATGTTTGTTTAGGACAGATTTGAAAAACATAATGGCCGCTAGACAGACGCTTTGGATTTTGACATTTCAAGATTGTTATTTCTATTTCACAAGAAATACTTGACAGATCTTTCAGCTATTTCAGTTTTATTCAGTTCGAGATTATTATTGCTGTTTCTTTTATGATATGATGGGTGCAAAAATTCCTCTGAGATCTCTTGTATTCTTTAATTCTGGGGAAATTGCAATCAGCCGTCATTCCAGGTAAACTGGTGTTGGACACAAGTCAACATCTGTAGAATTCTTGTTACACCATTGTTGTTTAGTTTCATTGATGAATGTCTCTTGTGTATAGGACTGTGTTAGTTCACATTCAGAAGGGAAAATATTTGCCTGATCTCCATTGAAATTGTTTTACAAATATATCCAATTGTATATATTTAGCATTACCACATTATTATGATCCTGCAACAGATTTCATTGTATTTTTTTACAATTAGCGCATCTACCTTTAGTACAAGTTTTCACACCTTTGTTTGCTAACATTAGTAAAAGGTATCACATCATTGTTTGCTAACATAAGTACAAGTTATCACATCATTGTTTGCTAACATAAGTACAAGTTATCACATCATTG